TATAGCTTTTTATTATCCTGTCTTGACATCCCATAGACGGATAGATTTATCTCCACTTCCAGAAGCTAAAGTAATTCCATCTGGTGAGAAACATAATGATCGAACATCATCCCAATGACCATCTAATTAGGTTTTTTATTATCCAGTTTTAACATCCCATAAACGGATTGAGTAATGATCACTAGCAAATGCTAAAGTAGTTCCATCTGGCGAGAAACAAAGTGATCGAATTTGATCACTATGACCATCCAATTTGGCTTTATATTATTTAGTTAAAAAATCCCATAAACAAATAGAGTTATCGTAATTAAAAAATGCTAATTTAGTTCCATCTGGTGAGAAACAGACTGAGTTGATATCATTACAATGACCATCCAATTTGACTATTTATTAACCAGTCTTAACATTCCATAAACGAATAGAACTATCACTACTACCAGATGCTATAATAATTCCATCTGGGGAGAAACATACCGACCAAACATTACTAGTATGACCATTTAATTTTGCTTTTTATTATCCAGTCTTAACATCCCATAAACGGATTGAATTATCACTACTACCAGATGCTAAGAAACTTCCATCTGGTGAAATGCATACCGATAGGACGAAACTAGTAAATCGATTAAATTTAGCTCTTTTTTTCCTTGTCTTAACGTCCCATAAAATTATTGACTTATCGTAACTACAGGAAGCTAAGGTAGTTCCATCAGGTGAGAAGCATAATGATAAAATTTGCTCATTATGGCCATCTAATTTGAAGTTTTATTATCCTTTCTTAATATCCCATAAACGAATAGAGCAATCTTTATCTCCCTACTTACTTCCACCCCCAGAAGCTAAAATAGTTCCATCAAGCGAAAAGCAGACTACATTAACACTACTCCTATGACCATTTAATTAATTCAGTTCGTGAATTCTAATGTTCTTCCATTTACATTCAAAAAGCAAAGCCCCATTCAAATTAACTCCACTTATATCCACATTTTCCAATTATGATTCATTTAAATTGCACCTAGAAAAGTTTCCTCCAAATAAAGAAGTATTCTATATCCTGATTTTCTCGAATGATTGATTCTTCAAATCTTCCTTCATTTAAACTAATATATTTAGAGAGTTCGAACCACTTTAGATGAATTATTTATCTATAGCAGTAAGCTGAACTAAAAATTTTAACAATTTGACAACTTTCTCATCTTATGCTATTTTTTAAATTAAATCTTTCCTAGATACTTCATAGACATCTGTAGAATAATTGTTTTTATTAAAGTCATGATCTTTAATTTTTTTCATAATATTCATTATTCTCTTCATTTTATCTTTTGCCACATTTAACTTCTCTTTTTAATCGAAATGAGTTAATTATATTACTTTTAGAATTTACTATTCACAACTTTAGAGATTTTCATCATCAGAAAGATATTGTAAACAGTCTGAAATATTTTCTTTTCTCAAAATTTGAATTATTGAGTTGTATATTTATTCTTCAAAATCCATTGATGAAGTGAAGATTTCATACAGATCTTCTTTTTATTCCATGATCTTTTTTAAAAATAATATTGAATTTTTATTACCTTTGATATTAAGTTTTATATTATGAATCAAAAAATATCCTTTGCATTAAAGTAAAGTAAAGACAAACAATTGTGAAAATCAAAACTTTATTGTTATTGAGATAAAATCAAAAAAATTTTAATCAAATAACCTTTTGCAGAGTTTAAATCTTTGAGAATATAGAAAAGATAAATAACTAAATTTTGAAAATTTACATAATTAATAATTGATCTTTCATATCAGCCTTATTTAATTTTACCTTTTTTGTCTCAGATCACTTTATTTGTCACCTTTTATGTTTAATCAAAATTAAATAATACAATTATTTCATTTTATAAATACAACATAATTTATTTAGAAAATAATACCTGATGAATAAAAGTGGTTTGAATGATAAATTCTAAGAAAGAGAAATTAATGAAACATTAAGATATTGTTATAGGATTTTGGTCTTTTTTCTTATTCTATTCTGATGATCTTAAGAAATAATAGCATTGAATATGCTAATTTTTCAGCAATTTAAAATAGATAGTGTTGCTATTATTTCTTGTCGATTTTTCAATTAATTCTTGTTTCCATTAAAATTTTATGTCTTATTTTGAAATTATTTAAGTGTCGAATGTGGAAATTTTTATATTTTTCATAGGTTATCCTGTTTAAAAAGTTTGATCTTCCAATAAAAGTTTTTTCTTTTTCTCTCATTCATTACTCTACTTTCAGTTACTAAAATAATTTTCTCTTTCTTTAGAAAAAATTGCAAATCTACTTCATTAATATTAACCTTAATAATTAATTGCTACTTTTGCCTAGAGTTTTTAAGATTTAGTGCCTCTAATTGAAAATCTTAATTTTATGAAATTAATTTGAAAAAATTGTCTAATCTGTAAATTATTTTTTAATTCTTTGTTAAAGATTAATTTCTTCCAAAAATTGGTTTGCCAACTTCTTTTTATGTCTATTTTCATTATACAAAATACTTTATTTTTTAAATCAACAACTTAAATAAATAATCTACTAACTTACCTTTTCCATCTAAAATTGATATAATCTAAACCAAACTATGGAGATGGTAAGAAAATTTTTATCAAAAAAAAGAAAGATTCGATGAGTCATTATCATTAAATTCATTTAAATAGAAAATATAAATCATTTCACTAATTTTAATTTTATAGAATTTATAATTTTTTTATTAGTTTTATTCTGAGATTGGAATTTAATAGAAAATTTTAAATTAAATTTCATGGAAAAGATTAATTATAAGCATTTATTGATCTTTAATGGTATATTTTTCTTACATTATTATTTTTCATTATTTAATCTTGAATTTTAAATCTTTACATCAAAGAATAAAAAAAGAAGTAAGCCAAAGTAGAGAAGGAGATGAAAATTTCTTTTTCTTTTAATTCATTTTTCAAACAACTAATATAGAAATAGAAATAGAAGATCAAATGCAGGAGAAATTAGATATTTAAATGGTAATATATATAATATAGATCTTCTATCTAATTGCTCTTAAATATCCTAAATGTGAGATAACATTTTCCACTAGGTCTAAACTGCTCAGTAATTTCACATTGTTATAGCAAATCCTAAGATATTAAAAAAAAAATGAGAATTTGAGATCCACCATTCCTATTGCAAATCGTTAATCTAATTCCTATTGTTAAGTAACCTATTAATCTAAAATTTTATATTTATTTCACATTACCATTATTTCCATTAAATTACAAAAAAATTCTCATTCACTTTGTTTATGTTATCACCACAATAGCATAATATAAAACAAATGTTGAAAAAATAAATATAAAAATAATAAAATATCATTAATAAAATATGCAGGATCACTATTGTAAGCTCCATAAAAAATTTTAAAATCGTTGGATTCTTATAGCTCCTCCGTATTAAAATCGAACATTTTGTGAATGTTGTAAATTTCAATTAGACAAGGGAGAAGAACTATTTATCACCATAGAAGAGTTTTAAGAAAAATACATAAACCCCCTTAAAGATAGAATTAAGGATCAAAAATAGTCTGAAAACGTTGATAAACTTTGCAAAATATTTAAAACTCTGCTATGTGAAATAGAAAAAATTTTAATATAGATGAATAATATAAAAATTAACTTTGAAGAAATTTTTGAAGATATTAAAAAACAATAGTAGGAATTTGAGAATATCATAAATAACCATTCATTTGAAAACCCTCATTAATTTTCTTTGAAAGAAATTATTTAATTGAAAAATAGCAATAAATTAAATGATTTGTAAGATTAAAAGTTTTCTTATTTCAAATCATTCAATGAAGTTGTCAATTAGTTAGAAAATATAATAACAGGATTTAAAATCTAAATAGATCAATAAGATTAGATTGTTTCAAAAAATTTTTAAGAATATAAAGATTAAAAGAAAGATGAATTCAAGTGGGTAGGTAAGAAAAAGTATATAGGACAATTTTGGAATAAAAACATAGAAATATACTAAAAATTCCACTTTAATTTAGAATTTTGTTTAAATAATGAAATCATTTATGAAGAGTTTGATGGAACTACTTTGAGATAGTATAAATATTTTTTAAATTGTTAGAGAATAAATATATGATATCACTAAGTAGCCAATTATTTTAGTAAATAATGAATAAATTAAAAATTTTTAATGGGTTGGGGAGTATGAAAAAGTATAAAAGGTGGGCAAATGGAAAGCATATTGGAATGGATAAATAATACCACAAATTGAAGGGTACTACTTTGAAGGAATGAAGAATGGTTTTTGGAAAGAATGCTCAAAAAATTATTGTAGGTATTTTTTTGATTTATTATTTACAAAAGTCAAGTTAATTGTTTTGAATAAGGATTTTACTGCAATGAAAAAAGAAAAGGAATATGGAGGTACCTTTACGAAGATATTGAGATGTATCATAAAATTATTTTAAATTTAAGAGGAGGAGGTTTATATAACGATTCAAATTAAAAACACGGAATATGGACTGAACTGAGCGATCATTTTTGTTCTAAAGTTTAGATTATTTATAATGGTAAATTTTAAAATGATAATAAAACTGGAATATGGGTTATTTTATTTAGAGACATGATAAATCAACCATTTAAGCAGATGTATGATGTTAATTTAATTATTTATTACTGCATTTTCTGGAATAATCCATTAGTGGAGGCGGATTATATTAAATTTGTGTTGATCAAAATAAATAATAAAACCGAAATGGGTTAGATAATTGTATTTCTGAAAATATGTAGAAATCTAAAGGATTCAAAGAATTTTCTTACTACTCTATCTCTCCTAATATGGACTAAGAATTAAAATCTTCCTCAAAAATATATAATGATTCGTAAATTATATAAATTAGTATCTTTTAAAGATCATATCCTGTATATGAAAAAGTTGGTTCAATTAAGATAGGAAAATGGGTAGATTTGTGGGATTAGTTTAGGTAGACAGCATAGGTGACTTATAGTGGTGAATATAATATGAAGGGTATTAAGGTTGGTCATTGGGATATTAAATTAGAGGGGAAAAAAATGTAAAACAATTATAATGAAATTTGTAAGTGGTGGTGGATAATATGGTGAATTTGAGGTGTAAACAAAAATTGGAAAGTGGGTAGAGTTATAGGAGGAGTTTGAAAGGTAAGTATATGTTACATGTAATGGCAAATATAATTAAAAGGGTATGAAGGTAGGAAGATGGGATGTATTTTAGAAAATAGAATAGAATATATTTAAATGGAAGTATTAATAATCATTATTTAGTGGATATTATAATTATGTTGATCAATAAGGAAGTGATTAGAAATTCATGTAATTAGTTCAATTAAATGAATGTTTAGCTTAACAAAATCTGATATATTTTATAATGGACAATTAAGCAATAGTAAGAAAGTTGGTCGATGGAATATTATATTCAAAACATAAAAAATGTAATACAAAAATAACCTAATATGATAGTGGTGGTGGATAGTACAATAAAGAGGGGTTTGAGCAGGGGAGGTGGGTAGAGTTGTGGGAGAGGTTTGAGAAGCGTTTATAAATTATATATAATGGTG